TTATCCAGGGACTCGTACACTCTGTTTTTGTACTGCTGGTATTGTACCAGAAACATTTTCTTTTATTGTTACTTGCTTTTTAAACTTTGTTTAGCCACTTAAAGAAAATCTGCTTATGGCACAATTTGCCTCAAATCCATTCCAAGTTGTATATTTGTTTTCCAATAAAAAAATTACAATTTACCCAATTGTTGCTCTGAATCTGAGTGATTTAATACCTATTGGTGTAATAGTTCTGGGACAGCGGGAAGCCTTTCTCCTTGGTGTGATTCAGCTGTGGTCTTTGGGGATGGACTCCTGCTAGGAACTTCCTGTCTTGCTCTTAGGAAGATTATGGCCTGGTGTGGTGGTGCACCCCTTTAATCCCAGCACTTGGGAGGCAAGAGGCAGGAGGGTTTCTGAGTTCAATTGCCAGCCTGGTCTACAGAGTGAGTTCCAGGCCAGCCCAGACTCCACAGTGAGACGGTTTACAAGAAGAAAAAAATAAATGAAAAAAATAAATAAATGAACCCTTTGTAAGGAATTGGCATCCACACACATTTAGTGTTTACCATCTTTTTTAATTTAAAAATTTTGCATTTATGTGTGTGTGTTGCCTGTATGTGTGTGTACCATGTCCTAGTGCCCTCGACAGTCAGAAGAGGGCACCAGACCCCCAGAACTGGAGTCACAGATGGTTGAGACCACTATGGGGGTGCTGGTAACCAAACCTGGGTCCTCTGTAAGAAAGAGCAACGAGTTCTCTTAACTTGTGGACCAACTCACTTTTCAGCCTTGCTTCCTTCCCTGTCTCAGCTTGTCAGTGTGCTCTCTTAATTTAGGAATTCCAGCTGTGCTTATCTGCTTGCAACATGTCCTACCGAAAGGGTCTAAGATAAGCAGTTAACTGAGCTGTGTTTGAGGTCTTGCTTCTCCCATTTCTTTCTCTGTTATTTAAGATACGGTTATCAAGGGTTTTGTTCTAACTGCCTTTTAAATACGTAATTCCATAGCAAACCAGAGCAAAGATTGTGAAACAGTTGTTATGTGCTTACTGTGGCCCACAAGTTTCGGGACTGCCCCAGAGGGTGGGTCAGCTCTTTACACAGCGGGTGACGCCCTCATGGTTCAGAGGAGGAGGAGGGAAGAGAAGACACTGCTGACTGCTGGGCCTCGTCCTCAGGGGAGAGCTTTGTGTCCAGGTGTCCACTTCTGAGGCCCTTCCACCGGTGGTAGACTTCTAAAGGCTCCTCAGCAGCATTTCTGGCTGGAACATTTCTTTCTGAGGTGTTAGCTTTCACGATCTGTGGCTGTTGGGTTGACAAACACTGAATGATTTTCAGGTTTATTGTCTGAGCCGCAGTTAACCTGTAAGACGCCATCACGGTTTCTAACCTTTGGGAAATGTCCAGTGAAATGGTGACTTCGAGCATAGTCTCTGGCCTTTTGTCCAAAGTGCTCAGCCAGTGTTACCATGGTAAACCAGGTCCTGCTGGAAAATGAGAACGGGCAATTAATCATGGTATTTCTCCAGGTAACAATCTGGAAGTCAAATTTTAATACAAGATACCAAGATAATAATACAAGATAACCAAGAATGCTGTTAAAGGGAGAATACCGTGTGTGGTTGTGTGTGTGTGTGTACACATGCTGGCTGGACCCAAACTTGGCAGCAGTCAGCCTTGGCCTTCTCAGTGCTGGAATTGCAGGTGTGTACCACCATGCCTGGTGTCTTCTTTCCCCAGTCCTGGGGATCAAGGCCATTGTCATAGTTTTTAGTTTTAGTTTTCTGTAGTCATAGACTGCAGAAGACATGAAAAAGGTGAAGTATAGAGCAGATAATTTCTGTGATCACAGCTGTTCAAATCTTTGGAAGTACTTTGTAAGCGATCGTATCTGAACCCAGGGCTATGATTTTAAACGATCTCCAAGTCTGTACCATGTTACTGGTTTTAGTTTATCAGGAGTATGGTAATAAATTCTTTAATATTTATAGTGTGTTTGCTCTCAGATTTCTGCCAGTAAAGCACTTTAAAAAAAGAATTACATGAGTGTATGTGCATCATGTGCATGCAGGACCTGTGGAGGCCAGAAGGGGGCATCAGGTCTGGAACTGAACAGTTAATTGCCATGTGGGTGTTGGGAACCGAACCTGGGTCATCTGCAAGAGCAGCAAGTGCTCTTAATAGCTGAGCCGACTCTCAGGTTTGGGAAATTACGTTTGTGTCAGAATGTTGTTTAACCATTTATGGTAGTGATTTTTCAATTTGAGAGTCTTAAGTCCATTGAGTTGACAATTTTTAGTAATTTTTTTTAAAAACTGCCATGGGAGATTAGTTTAAATTTGGGTAGTATAACTGAAAAAGAGGAAACTGGTTGTGTTGGATTAACAAACAACCCTAAACTTTCTAATACATATATTGTATGGTTTTTTTCAAGACAGGGTTTCTCTGTGTAGCTTTGGAGCCTTTCCTGGAACTTACTCTGTAGCCCAGGCTGGCCTCAAACTCACAGAGATTTGCCTGTCCTGCCTCTGCCTCTCTCTGCCTCTGCCTCTCTGCCTCTCTGCCTCTCTCTGCCTCTCTCTGCGTCTCTCTGCGTCTCTCTGCGTCTCTGCCTCTGCCTCCCGAGTGCTGGGATTAAAGGCGTGCGCCACCACTGCCCAGCTATATTTTTAATTGTGTATACATTTTAGGATTTTAAAGTTACTTTGGAAGCATTCTGAGGTATTTGGCATAATTTGGAGTCAAACTCTTCAGCCTTCAGAGATGAAGTTTATCATTGGGAAGTACTGTATTTTCCCAAGAAATTTTAGGAAAAGAGCATTGAACATCTGTGGTTCTGTCTTAAAAGCTATTGTTAACCAGAAAAGAACTCCTCATGGCCCTGTGTACAGTGGTGGTGCCTTTGGCTGGTTCTGTTTTTCCTTGCAGACTGCCTCCTGTGTCCCAGGCCTCTAACTCTTCCAACTTCTCCTTGAAGTCCTCATTCTCTTGTCTACCTCCCATGCACTAGGACGTCCCCCGGCCATGTGATGCTGGGGGTAACCGCAGGACCCGTGCATGCTAGCCAAGAACTCGGCAAGTGGACTTGGGCCCAGCCCCGGCCATATTTTCTTAGCTATGTTCCGTTTGTTTTATTGGTAAAAGTCCTTGAAGTCATTGACCCATGGCGTTTCTATTTTTGAGGTAAACCTCTCTTCCCTCTGAAGGTTCTCTTCTCACTGTAACACCTCGTGTGGGTTTCTGGACTTCTCTGTACCTTCTTCATATTCTTCAGTCTCTAGGGTCCCAGTCCCTAGTCTACTGAGCCAGTTTTACAGCCTCAGCTGAAATAAGAAAACGAAATGAACACGGGGTGGACTTGATTAACCTGTTACATTTATTTCCATGTTAACCATGCAATCTCCAGTCATTTTTAAACTTGGTTTCTGGTACTTTTAAAAATAGTACATTGAAGCCAAGTGTGGTAGTGAATGTCTATAACCTTGGCACTTGGAGAAGTGGAGGCCTGGGCTGCAGGAGACTGAAAGAAGAATCCCAGGGATTTGGAGGAATTAGATGAAATCCTTGTTTCTCCAGGTTCCCAGCACAGTTCCAGGGGAGCTGGGGTTGGTCTGCTGCGCAGCAGGTAAAACGAACCAACGCGCTGGCCACATGAGCCTGCTGAGCTAGATCCCAGAACCCACGTGTCAATGGAAGGAGACCGGATGTCACCAAGGTCCTCACATGTGCCATGGACACAATGTCACATATACACACACATATAGAGAGAAAAGCAAATCTTAAAACTGGCCGAGTTGTTCTTAGTTCCTGTCCTGGGATTGAAATCAATTTTCATTTTAAAATCACAAGATGCTTTATTCAAGAACATCAGTTTTTAAAAATTTCTTTTTTGTATATGGGTATTTTGTCTCCGTGTATGTCTGCACTATGTGTTTGCCTGGTGCCCGGGGAGGCCACATCCCCTAGAACTGGAGTTACAGTTGTGAGCTACCAGTCTCTCCAGCCGTGAACATCAATTTTTGGAAGGTCCCACTGTTAAGATAAATTGGTACCTGATACAACCACTCCTATGAATAGTTCTTCTTGTGTTCCGATTTTGTTTTTGTGTTATTCTGTGTGTGTGCATGTGCAGCCCAGCATTTAAGTAGAGATCTTAGGACAACTTCTGAGAGTCAGTTCTCTGCCCACCATGTGGGTCCCAGGGACACCAAACTCAGACCATCAGGCTAGGCAGCCTCGGGCACTATTTTTCCCCCCTCAGAGCCCTCCTGGCCCTGAGACTATATTTAATTTTAGATCAGTTTGTTTTCTGTGTATGATTGTTTTCCCTGCATGTATGTGTATGCACCACGTGTGTGCCTGGCGCCTGCAGGGTTCAGAGGGCGTCAGATCTCCTGGAATTGGAGTTACTGGATGGGTTGTGAGCTACCATGTGAGTGTTGGGAATCGGACTCCGGTTCTCTGGAAAAGCAGCTAGCGCTCTGGACTGGGGTTCTTTGGGAAAGCAGCTAGTGATCTTAGCTGTGGAGCTAATTCTCCAAGCCCACACTGAGGTCAGTTTTAGGAAACAATGGAGTCCTCTCACTCCCGAAAGTTGGAGATGGGAAACTGAAGCCTCGTGCTGTTGAGGGCAGCGGAGCATTGCAGCCAGATCGGGATTTGAATTCTTCAGCGACAGTGTGATGGTGTCACTAAGGAAGCTGCCCTCATTCTCCAGATGGAACGAATTAGCACGGGCGTCGCAGCGCTGCTGGGAGGGCGACCTGAAATGTAATGTATGTGAAGTCCTCGGAACACAGTAGGTCCTCCACAGAAGGAATCACGGTTGAAAACGCCGTTTTAAAAGCAATCTTTCTAGGTTGAGAAGCTACAGCCAAGAGAGGCCCAGCGGGCCAAGGGACTACGGAAGAGATGGGTGGTCTGCTCTCACAGCTAGTGTTCCGGATGGCCCCCCACCTCACCCCGGAAGTGGATGTTAAGGAAGAACCCCACCTTAAAGCTAAAGGCGCCTACCTGTTTTCCTTTCTAGGATGTGGGATTGGGGATAATTTGTGAGGGGATGGTAGAAATTGTGGGTACCATCAGATGCGGGCAAGCCTGCCTAGATACACACATACCCAAGAACTCGGGCAACTTCACAGTCCCCTATACTTTATGACACACGCACACGTGACAGTCTCTAAGGATGTCCACTGAGTCAGCTTGGCTGAGGCCTGCACAGGGCATCACTTCCCTGTCCTCACCAGTGGAGGTGACCTGCAGGACTTTGCACTGGTCTTTTAGGCGCGCAAGCTCAGAACCGGCGGGTGGCCGGGGCTCCCAGCACAGGCCTGGAACCGGCGGGTGGCCGGGGCTCCTAGCAACCGGCTGCCAGCCCGGACCCGGGGAGAGAGGAGGTCGCAATGGACGAGCCAGCCATCGGCATCAACCCCTCCGCAGTACCAAGAGAAGACCTGGGGCGTGGAGAGCCGCTCGCCTCGACCTCGGTAGGGTAGTCCGCCCCTTGCGGCCCCCCGCAGCCTCATCTCTCGGAGCCCCGGTGCCTCTTCCGCATCCCCGCGCCCGCACCTGATTTTCTTCGTTGTATTTGATTTCTTTATCCTGCCTTACCTTCTCTCTCCATCTTTCCTTTTCTTTTTCTTTTGTATTTCCCCCACACCTACTTGCTTCAGTAGAGCGATTAGATTTCCTGCCCTTTCTCCTTCTGTTAAAGGAACTGTTGGCAATTCTACCAGACGTCCTCTGCCCTGCCTCCTGGTTGAGTACTTTTAAAAATAAATTTGGGTGAGGGTGTTTAGCCTATCATTTATCTTCTCCTTTAAAGTGAATTTAAAACGACAGATGTTCGGAGTCACACGGACAGCTCCTCTCTTCCGGACTGGTCCTATTTCCCCCTCCTAATCAGCCCACCCCACTTCTCTGCTTTGGAGGGAGATGTGAGAAACCTGTCTTGACCTGCCTGAGTACATTTTCCAAGTTCAAAAGGAGCAACTGAAAAGTCAACAGGAATTTAATAAAGAGCATGCTGGATGGGAAGAGGTTGGTTCGGATGCATAGCATGGCATATCAAACCACGGGAATTCTTTTGTCTTCTGGAGAAATGTACATGTTTCATTGGAGCACTATAGAGCTTGTGAAGTTGTTGCAATCAGAAGAGACTGAATTACATCCATTATGTTTACCAGTTATTCTTTTTGGCCCATTCTTGGTTGAGATAATTCTTATTTCATAATGAATATTACAAACAGAAAGAGTTTGCTATTTTAATGATTTGCAGTAGCACAAGAGGAAAAACTACACAGCTGGGTTCTGTGGACAGAGGGGCTGAAGGAAATGTGGAGTCCTCATCAGCACACAGAGTACTTGCTGCGGAGACAAGAACCCCACTGGAAACTGAGGCATGCCCAAACCATCTGCTTCTTAACTCGGCCGATGAGATATTAAAAATAAAATCTACCATTTCTCAAGCAATGACTTGGTAAGTGTGGTTGTGGGTGTGTGTCTTCCTTTCCTGTTCCCCACTTCTCGAGACAGGGTCTCATTATGTAACCCCCTGGCTGGCCTGGAGCTCACTATGCAGACCAGGCTGGCCTAGGTGGGTGCACCACCACCCCTCCACATCCAGCTAGTTCATATTTTTATACTTCTGTGAGAAAGCACAATACATGAAGATTAGTTGAACAACTTTCTCATGTGGATTTCTCACTGGGCAAAGGAGCTGTGGTCTAACATCAAATTTTGTCACATTTGTTGTTCTTAGAACATCTCTGTAAAATAGGAATTGTAGGATATTTTGTTTGTGTTCTGACAAATAAAGCTTGCCTGGAGATCAGAGGGTGGAGCTAGCCACTAATTAACCTTAGAAGTCAGGCGGTGGTGGCACAAGCCTTTAATCCCAGCACTTGGGAGGCTCACACCTTTGACCCCAGCAATCCAGAGGCAGAGGCAGGAATATAAGGAGGTGGGAACAGGATCTCACCACCCCCCTATTTGGTCTGAGGATCTGTAGAAGTAAGAAATCTCTAGTGGCTGCTGCTCTGCTTCTCTGATCTTTCAGCTTTCACTCTAATATCTAACTCCAGGTTTTTATTGATTAAGACTAATTAGGATCGGGCTGGAGAGATGGCTCAGAGGTTAAGAGCACTGACTGCTCTTCCAGAGGTCCTGAGTTCAATTCCCAGCACCCACATGGCAGCTCACAACCATCTGTAATGAGATATGGTGCCCTCTTCTTGTCTGCAGTCATACATGCTGTATGCATAATAAATAAATAAATCTTAAAAAAAAAAAGACTAATTAGGATCCCACTTCATCTGGTGCCCAATGTGGGGGCATGAATTATGAAAAAATCGCTTGCCCATGGCTTCGTAGCTACTAGTACACGTCAGAGCTGCTCGCAGGGGCTCCCACCAGAGTCACCACTTCACCGGCTAGGTTTTCCTTTTTTCTCCAAGCTCTCTGGATGAGTTTGGGATTTTTCTGTTTCAGCCTCTTTACAGCCAATGCCACGGGCATGTGGACCCCAAATGCCTCTGGAGTTAGCTGCTTTCACAGGCCTGTCCCCCCCCCCCCCGCCCCCAATGCAGATGGCTGGCTCTTCGGCTTTTTTCCCCCGTGGGTCGTGGGTTTTCCCTGAACCCCTCCTTGGGCTGCTGCCACACTAGGTAGCTGCCTTTACACCCACTCAGCTTCTACTGTTCTGTGCAGCAGCCAGCCTCACACTTCACCGTCATCATCGGTAGGTTTGGTAAGACAACTGGGAATTCTTATAGGGGGGAGGATTAGTTTTTTAAAAAAAGTTTTTTCCCTTGTTAAAAAATAGGAAACTATTACAGTGGAGAGAGTTAGGTCTCTGTATGATCACACAATGGATGGTTTAAAAATGGAACAATTAAATGAAAGGATAATGAACTTTTTTTTTTTTTTTTTTTTTTTTTTTTGAGACAGGGTTTCTCTGTGTAGTTTTGGAGCCTGTCCTGGAACTCGCTCTGTAGACCAGGCTGGCCTCGAACTCAGAGATCCGCCTGGCTCTGCTTCCCAAGTGCTGGGATTAAAGGTGTGCACCACCACTGCTGGGGTAATCAACTTAACAGGAATTGACATAATGTTAGTTATCATTTTGATAATTCTTATTACCTTTGATAATTCTTGGTTTATCTCTAAAAATGTTGGTTGATATGAGTGCCAAGATACAGGCTTTAGAAGAACTTACTAAAACAGATCATAGAGATATTCAGACCCTGACAGAGGAATTTAAAGGAGAACCAACCTATTACATTACAAGATTAGAGAGGAACAGCCCAAGGTTTTCAAACAGCTAACCTTAATTTATCTAGTCACCTTACAGGAACAACTGCCAAATGACAGATACCCCCAAGGCCATGAAAGAGCTGACAGGATTCCTGTGGAAATGTTAGATTTGAGGAGATTTAAGGAAGTGATAGTCTCATATGGTATACATTCACCTTTTGTGAAGCAGATGTTAAATTATGGTCAACTAGTAACAGAAATGTCCCACAAGACTGGAAAGACTTGGTTACAGCAGTATTGGAACCTGGTCCTCAATTACAGTGGAGGACATAGTGGAAAGATGAGGCTAAGACCATTGAACACTGAAGTGTAGGGCTAGAGGTATTGAAATCTCCCAAGACCAACTTCTTGGAGAGGGAGATTATGCTGATATAGAAAGACAGTCTCTATATGATGACCACACCCTGGCTCTATGCCATACAGCAGTTTTGAATCTTGGGACAGAATTGAAGAAGTCAGAGAATTAAGTCATTTACAAAAGTTACACAGGGCCCAAAAGAAACCTTCACTGATTTTTTACAAAGGCTGTCTCCAGCTGTAAATAGAGTGATACCAAATTCAGAAGCTAGACAAGTAATAATTAAATATTTGGCTTTTGAAAATGCTAATTTTTGATGCAAAAGGATAATTAGGCCTTTAAAGGCAAGATCAGCATCTATAGAGAAATTGACCTGAGATACAGTCAGAATTAAATTTCATAACCATGATGATGCTTGGATAGAAGAGGTGATTTCCAGAGGCTTGAAGGAAAATAAAAATGTCAAGTGTTTTCATTGTGGCAAACAAGGTCACCTATAAAGGGATTGTGGACAGGGAGTTCCTAGAAACAATGTTTTCTCTAGGAATAATCCAAAAGAAGGTCCCTCCCTTCTGGATTATGCAGAAGGTGTGGCAAAGGCCAACAGTGGACCAATGAATGCAGATCAACAAGGGATAGACATGGTAACCCTTTGCCTTTGGGAAACATCTTGGGGGGGGAGCTCTTGCAGGCCCCATGTCAAATTTGGTTCAGTTATTCCCTGTCACTGTGGGGGAAACTCCTCCCCAGAGCAATTAAAAGACCTATTGCCTATTGTAAAAAAAAAACAAAAACATACTGCTCTGGATGATAGAACAGCTTTAGAAGATAAAACAAAAATTTCAGGAGAAACCAGAACAAGAGAGACCTCTTGATTAGAAGAGGTGATAGTTCATCAACCAGCATGACCACTCAACCTAATTTAACTTATAAGACTAGCAAATGCTTTTCATTTGATCAGATATAACTTGCCAAAAGGGAAACTCCCCAAAGTTAGGGTTGGGGCAGGGTTTTGTTTTTGTCTTTCCAGAAAAATAAAAACAACCATCTCGAGGAATTTAAAGACCTTTGGACAAATAAGCATCCAAAGAAGAAGGGAGAACTTCCCGGAAAATTACGAAGAAAAGGAATAATCTGACCTAATGCAATCTCTGAAGTCTCCAAAAAGATGATGGGCCCCCACAACGATGATTCCACATGGACTATGGTAACACAACTAAGCTGACAAACACCACCTAAAGATTGACTTTGGACTACAAACTGCTCAGGACAATTTCAAAGTGGCTAGCTGAGATGATCCAGCCTCAGAGACTACCCTAGCCAGGACTTGAGACAAGCCGTGCACTTTCCCACTACATAGAGATGGGACAACAAACAATATAGCTAGCTCTCTCAGGACTTGACAATAATCCCAAATACTTTTTTCAGGGTCCCCTAAAGATGCCGTCACCCCCAGACAGCAGGAAGTAATCTTAAGAACGCTACACTCACATTCTCAAGAGATGGTGTGGGTGGTTTTTGGTTGTTCAGTGGGTTATGGATATTTGTTATTATTTAGGGGAGGTTGGTTACAAGTTGTTATTGGTGATGGTCAGGAAAAAAAGCTGAACAAAGGAGATTAGATTCAGATATCTCATTTTAAAAATAAAAATGGTAATATAGAAATAGGATAAAAGGGTAGATTATTGAATCTACTTTCAAAAAGCAACTACTAGTTTTAAATCTTTTACATTGGCTTGGATTTTTGTATACTGATACAAATTTGAGGTTATTTTTGTTATACTGTATATATGTTATAGAAATGAGAGGATAAAAAGGTAAATTATTGAATCTACTTTTAAACCAAAAAAGCAGCTACTTATTTTTACATATTTTACATTGATATGGATTTTTATATATTGATACAAACTTAAGGTTATTTTGGTTAGAACATACTGTACATACATTTCTACTCTTGTTCAAGGTATTGTACCTATACAGCTTATCTAACAATGCAATATAAATTTCTAGTCCTTGGAAGTTAGTATTATAAACTATTTAGGATAATAAAGAAATATAGGTTAGTAGTCACCTATTACAATCAAACTTGTAGTCATGTTAGGTTTGTTTTCAAGGTCAAACATATATTTTAGATAGGCAAGTGGTCTTCAAACACCTCAGAGATCTACAGAATATGGCGTTTAAGGTTTTTTTCCCCCTTCTGTGTAGCTTTGGAGCCTGTCCTAGAACTCGCTCTGTAGACCAGGCTGGCCTCAGACTCTGAGATCTGTCTGCCTCTGCCTCCCAAATGCTGGGATTAAAGGTATGTGCCACCATGCCCAGCTCATTTAAGGTTTTAATAATGTAAGGTTTTGTTTTTTTTGTTTTTTGTTTTTAATGACAATGAGACATGTCTGCTCCTGGCAGCACCAATCTACTTGAGAGAAGATGATGGGCACTGAAGAAACGCCATATGGAGTTTACTTTTTTGTGGCCAAAGTTAGCCACTGAGCAAGAAACTGCCCTTGCCTCAACTGCTGACAGTATGCTGTCCAAATTGGACAAGCAGGACAGAAAAGAAAGTAACTGCTGAACTTTGCTAAGACAAGGCAGGATAGTCTTTCAAAAATCCTGTTTCACAGAAAAGTCTATCAGATATTCTAGACCTGTAGGCTGAAGATGGATGCCCCAACATTGCAGAGGAACCTTGGGTGACTGTCCAGGCAGCCAGCTGTTTCTGTCACTTCTTATTTTTGGAAGTTGTTTGCTCTGCACTTCCTGTTTACTCAGGTAATATGTCCTTTTCAGGTCTCTGATGGAGTTGAAGACCAGATAATTATAGGTACAGTTTTCCTTGTTACCAGATTCAGAACAGAAACTCATAAAAGTGGTGTAAAGTGTATAAGGTTGAGAGATATAAAAGATAGTTTTGGTCTAGTAATGCAAATTAGAATAGAACGTGAATTAGGTACAACACTTTGGACTCACCAAGACAGGATAGATAATGGAGAATTTTCTCTGAATTTGTCAAATGCTAATGGACTAGACATTGTCAATGTAATTATTGCCTGTATATATTTGTATGTAATTATTGTATTTATTGCATATAGTTTTTCTATGTTAGCTAAAACCTTCACTTTTTATTTGGACAAAAAAGGGGAAATGTTGTATGATATTTTGTTTATGTTCTAACAAATAAAGCTTGCCTGGAGATCAGAGGGTGGAGCTAGCCACTAGTTAACCATAGAGGCCAGGCAGTGGTGGTATAAGCCTTTAATCCCAGCACTTGGGAGGCTCACATCTTTGATCCCAGTACATGGGAGGCTCATGCTTTTGATCCCAGCACTTTGGAAGTGGAGACAGGAATATAAAGTGGGTGGAGACAGGATCTCCCTCCCTCCCAATTTGGTCTGAGGATTTCTAGAGGTAAGAAGTCTCTAGTGGCTGCTGCTCTGCTTCTCTGATCTTTCAGCTTTCACTCTAATATTTGACTCTGAGTTTTTATTGATTAAGATTAATTAGGATCATGCTTCAAGCAATGCTTATTTTAATTTCACCAAAGGGATTTTGAGATACTTAAAAATAACTTACTAGCTTAACACTTTAAGGAAATAGTATGGGTGAAATATATCATTATGTATCTTTCATTTTCATGATAGCTAATAAATAGGTTTGGTAGAGGCAATTTAGTTTCTTCAAGTAAATATTTTATACGTCATATATAATTTCAAGAGATCACCTTCTAAACAAATAAGCAGATTTTGTGTTTGCTCATAGACACAGATCCGGAAGAGTTCAACTCTTGATAGAGAAGGATGGTGGAGGGTAACATTAACGGTGTGTATATTTCCACTCCTTCCCATTTAAGTTCTTTTTGTTCCTGTTAAGGTTTTAATCAGTCTTCTTTTTCAGTCGGCAACACTTAACTGTGAGAAAATGGTTTGTTCGGATCTACACAGGTTACATTTCCCACCTATGGCTTTAGGATTGGCCATAGGAACGAGAAATTAGCTTGAAGTGTTGGACATAGTGAGAGTTTAGAACTAGGGTTCCGGGTCCTTTACTGGGTCCCCAGCCAAGGCCAACCATGATCTCATGGTCTCTGTCGCACCTATTGTTGGAGGGGATTTGGCTTCAGATTTTATCGCTGATGGCAGAGAAGCCAGTCTGTTAACGTTGTGTCTTCGGGTGACCATTGCTGTGACACAACACCACAACCAAAGCAGCTTGGGGAGGAAAGGGTTTATTTTACTTACATGTCCACATCACTGCTCATCACTGAAGGAAGCCAGGACAGGGACTCACACAGGGCAGGAACCTGGAGGCAGGAGCTGAGGCAGAGGCCGTGGAGGGGTGCTGCTTACTGGCTTGCTCATCATGGCTTGCTCAGCCTGCTTTCTTATAGAACTCAGGACCACCAGCCCAGGGATGACACCACCCCCAAGGGGCTGGGCCCTCCTCCACCAATCACTAATTTAAAAAAAATGCCCTGCACACTTGCCAGCAGCCTGATCTTATGGAGGCATTTTCTCAATTGAGGTTCCCTCCTTTCAGATAAGTCTAGCCTGTGTCAAGACGAGCCAGCCCAGGTGGTCAGTGTATAAAGTACATGAAAACAAGCTGGTAGCCTATAAAAGAATGGGCAGTTTCTGTATTGTGGGCATTTTCTATCAAAATGCTTCAACGATAGAGGCAAATTCCAATTGAATTAATTTTAGCAGAAGAAATGGGATGAGCTGGAAAGCTAGGCACAGAATAGCAGGCACTGACACTTCAGCTCCAGCCACTCAGCCACCCTGCAGTCACGGTTGGAAGTACCAGACCTCTTCTTTGCCTATAGACCACGTGCTGTGTTAATTCATTCTCCTCCTGAGGCTGGTGTTAAATTCCACCTCACTCTCAATGCTCCTTAAAAACAGCACACCCAAATCTGAAAATAAAAAGCTGTTAAAAGGGACTGGAGAGATGGCTCAGTGGTTAAGAGCACTGGCTGCTCTTCCAGAGGACCCAGGTTCAATTCCCAGCACCCATGTGGCAGCTCACCACTGTCTGTAACACGAGTTCCAGGAGATCTGACACCCTCACACAGACATGCATGCAGACAAAACACCAATGCACATAAAGTAAAAATAAATAAGTAAAAAAAAACATACCTGCTTTTGGGGGAGCCTTTAGCTATCCAAGAAACTGCTCTGTACTCACTGGCCTGCATGGTCAAAGAAGGACTAACTTTTGGGCTGGAGAGACGGTTCAGCAGCTAAAGGTGCTGGCCCCTCAGGCTGAGGACGTGTGCTCAATCCCCAGCCCTCATGTGCTGGAGGGACTTTTTGTCCTCAGACCTCCACATATACACCGGGGTAATGCCAGTCTTCACTCTCCACACACACACACTATATATATAGGGTCTCACTCTATATCCTTCGCTGGTCTGGAACTCACTGTGTAGACCAGGCTAGCCTTGAACTTGCAGAGTTCTGAGGTTTAACCGTGCCTGCAATGGAGTTGAAAGGTAGCTTTTAGCGGTTACCCTTCTATATGCTCAGCAGTTGCTTCAGAAAGGAAAACATCACAGTGCCTTTGAAATATTCTTCTATCAAGAGTGTTTGGGGTGGGGGTGGTTGGAGACATGGCTCAGCAGTTAAGAAGAGCACTGGCTGCTCTTCCAGAGGACCAGAGTTCAATTCCCAGCACCCACATGGCGGCTAACGATTGCCTTAACCCCAGTTCTGAGGGATTCAACACCCTGCTCTGGCTTCTGTATGCACTGCACAAATGTGGCCAAACACCCTTATGCATCAAATAAAAATAAATGTTTCTAAGAATGTCTGTTAGGGGCTGGAGAGACGGCTCAGCCGTTAAGAGCACTTGCTGCTCTTGCAGAGGACCTGGGTTCAGTTCCCAGCATCTACGTGATAGCTCTAAATTGTCTATAATTTCAATTCCAGGGATCCAACACCCTATTCTGACTTCTGTGTGCACCGGACACGCATGTGGTGCACAGACACACATGTGATAAAACTCTGATGCACACCCTAATAGCACTTGGGAGGCAGAGGCAGGCAGATTTCTGTGAATTCAAGGCCAACCAGGACTACATAATGAGATCCTGTCTCAAAAATCAAAATTAAACAAAACAAAACAAAAACACTGATTCACATAAAATAAATAAATTAAGAGTATTTGTTAAAATTGATAAGAGTTTTTTCTTAAATTCAGAGACAAAGAAATGCCACGTAGAAATGGCTGTGCTGCACATGGTCTCACAACCGGTGTCGATTTCCCACAGAATACTCCAATACCTGGCACTTACCACATCAAGACTTTTCTTGAAGAGTCCCTATTAAACCCAGTGAAAGCAACCTACAACTTTAAAAACGAAGGAAGGAAAAGGATACCGCTTGTGCAGAGAAACGATCCAGTCCCAACCGACCTCCCGCATTACAAGCCTCCCGACTTCTTGGAGCTGTTGAAGAAGCAGATGGCCTCCTACTCGTTCAAAGACCGCCCCCGGCCAAACCCCACCACCCTGGTTGACAAAGACGAGGTAAGGAGCGGCGGTCAGAGAGGGGGTTCTGTGGGAAAAGCTGCCGATCGACCGTACACTGGGGGAAGGTGCGTTAGGTACAGGGAATAAACCCCACCCCCAAGGGGAACCCCTAGGATATCTCATTCCCTACAGCAATTGAACAAAGCAGAAGATGGCTTAGCACCCCGAACACTTGTTCATCCAGAGGACCCGAGTTTCGGTTCCCTGCACCCATGTCAAGCAGCTCACAGCTTTCTGTAACTCCAGCTCCAGGGGATCCAGTGCCACTGGCCTCCTCAGGCATCTGTATTCACGTCTATATACTTGCCTGCGCACGTGCGCGCGCACACGCGCACACACACACACACACACACACACACACAGACACACAAACCAGAGAAATCTAAAGATGGAACAAGGGCTTGCAAATGTGTCCAGTGAGATCTTTCCTGTGAGGTCTTAACCCAAGGAGAGTGCTCAGAGGCACATTCTGGCAGGCTCCCTCACCCGGGGAATCTTTGGATCTATCTGGCCTTGGGTCACACACTGGCCTCATGAGGCAGTTGATGCGGTGGCCTCTTCTAAACGGAAGGTGCTGTCTCTTGCTGATCAGCCTTATTAGAGTGTAAGCATAACCTTTAAAACTCTCTCTTGGCTGGAGTGCAGCTCAGGGGTAGATCCTCAGCTCACCACTCACAAAGCCCTGGTTGCTTGACCCTTAGCATCAAAAAAAAAAAAAAAAAAATTTTTTTTTTCTTACAGAACTGAGTCTGTAATCATGGAGGGGTCCAACTCCACTCAGATCCACCAAAAGTTCACTGATAGCCGAGCGCTGCTGTGTTTATGGGACTAGGCTGTGCCAAGGGCAAGTGCTTCTGGTCCAGAATAGTTCAGTAACAAGACAAGCCACGACAAATCAAGGGTTGAGATAAAGAGTGTGGCAGGGAGCCTCCAGAATACTTCAGTAACAAGACAAGCCACGACAAATCAATCAAGGGTTGAGATAAAGAGTGTGGCAGGGAGCGCCAGGGAGAAGAAGAGCTCAGTGTAGGCTGGGTGGGAAGTGTCAGTTAAGTAAGGCTTAGCTGGCCCCTGATGATAAACATGGTTTCTTGTAGGTGACTTTGTTGTTGTTGTTTGGTTTTGGGGACAGGGTTTCTCTGTGTAGTTTTGGCTGTCCTGGATCTCGCTCTGTAGACCAGGCTGTCCTTGAACTCACAGAGATCCCCCTGGCTCTGCCTCCCAAGTGCTGGGATTAAAGGCGTGCACCACCACTGCACGACATGACTCTTTTTTCAAAATTTATTTACAATTGTGTGTCTGTGTGTGGGTATGTGAACATGAGGAGAGGCCAGAGGTGCCAGGTCCCCTAGAGCTGGAGTTACAGGCAGTTGTGAGCTGATGGATATGAGTGCTGGGAACTGAGCTCAGGGCCTCTCCAAGTGTCCTTAACCACTGGGCTATCTCTCCAACCCCTCATGTAACTCAGTGCTTACCACAGGCTTCCTCAGACTCGCTTAGCTGGGAACCTTGAAGAAGGCTGAAGAGACGTTTCTTTTCTTTTTTCTTTTCTTTTTTTCTTTCTTTTTTTCAGACAGGGTTTCTCTGTGTAACCCTGTCCTGGAATTAGCTCTGTAGACCAGGCTGGCCTCAAACTCAAGAGATCCACCTGCCTCTGCATCCTGGGTACCAGAACGAAAGGTGTCCGTCACCAGGCCCTGCTCAAGACAGCACTTTTAACTGAGGGTTTTGACCACAAATGGAGCCCTCTTTCCCGTCTACCACAATGAGAGGGGCAGGCAGGGTTTTGGCAGCTGGAACCGAAAGGATGCACTTCTGGGCCCTTGCATAGCCTTTTTGAAGGGCTGTGTGATGAGTAGGTCTCTTCAAGGGACGTTGGCTTGTTTCTTCACTCATTTCCAGGCCTCCATGTCTTAAACGAAGAGAGGCTGGCTACCATCAGTCCTCAAGATTCAAGGCCACTGGCTGGACACAAGAGGTTGTAGCTGGGTACCGTGGTACACGCCTCTAATTCCAGACCGAGGCTGAGGCAGGAGGATCTCAAGTTCCAGATAGCTTGGGCTACATAATACTCTATCTTCAGCCAGGCAGAGACAGGCGGATCTCTGAGGTCTACACAGAGCCTGGTCTACACAGAGAGTTCCAGGACAGCCAGGACTACACAGAGAGATCCTGTCTCAAAACAAAACAAAAACCCTTTGTCTTCAAAAATAAACAAGAAAGAGTTGTGATTGCTAAGTGAACGTAAAGCTTCCAGCCGGATGTGGACCCACATGCGACATGGAGCTGCTTGCTAACGCCTCCCTGATCCGGACTATGAAAAGAGCAGACCGTAAGGTTCCTTGGGTAAACCTGACTCTGTTTGCTTCAGTGAACAAATACATACCCTGGGTTATACTTGGCTTTACGACTTGGTATCAGGTAACCGAGCTACGGGTGAAATCCTGCTGGCCACCTCGACTCCTAACTCGTTCTCTGCCATTTCCTCCCTCCTGCTTTCTCTCCGGCTCTTCACCCACCCCCAGGGCCAGCCAGAGGCTCACCGTGGAAATATCACACAGAAAACTGTGCCGGGCCCAACTGAAAACCTTAATTAAAAGACCCAGGAGCTGAGCTTACCCAGAGGGCCGGACGAGCCTTCTGCAAACATGGCCTTCCTGTCTCTTCATCTTGTCTCTTCTCCTCCCCCTCCCCGCGGCCCACAAAGGATTAAGTTCCAGAAGCCGGGGAGTTTGGTGTTTACCTCTGTGAAGGTATCTATCCGAGAATACGTTCAGAACGGAGACAGAAGAAATCTGTCTGCTCGCCTGTACAGTTCAAATTCTGATGTTTCAATAGCCAACCTCGATAGAAGAATTTGGATGGGGTAGGCATAGTATATGTACATCAATGCCATTTCCTAAAATAGTGTGGCAGTCTCAGTTTTAGAGGATAGCTCATCCATACTGGTGGCTTTTTGTTTGTGTTTTTGGTATTTTGAGATGTAAAAATGTGATATCTCTCTCCCCGCTGCCTGCTTTTTCCCACTGGTCCATGGTTCCTCCCCTTATTTCTGAAAGAATTCAGCTTCCTTTACTCTGTCCTCCCCCCCCCCCCCGCCCCCACAGTGATTTTAGTACCCATAGAAATGGCTGGCTGGCTTCTTGGTTTCTCCATCCCTATCTCAGCCACTCAGATTTTTTCCTCCAAGACTCATAATTTCAGCCCCCCATAGTGTCAATTAGATGACTCTTCTCCGGTCACCATCTAGCATCCCCGCCCCCATTCCACCCGAACTCACTCATTCTTGCACTTTTTACACTGCTCTCACCCATCTCGTGTTTCCTCTCTGTCACAAGCTTAAATTTCACACTCAGTCACGACGCCCCCTCCCCATTTCCACCGTCATCATCTCTGGCTTGTTTGGCGAAGCCACACCTTGGCTAAGCCTAACTGTGTGCCTGGCAGCTGTGTCCATGTTCTCAAGGGACTGTCTCAGTTTTTAAGGCCTTCGCAGCCAGTGAGATCAAACGGCTTCTTAGTCTGTTGACATCCTCACTCCTACGGGGGGCCCTATCTCTCATCCTTTCTCTGACACCTCTTTCCAATCCGTCTTGGTTCTTCTTCTCGGCCTTCTTCACTATTTCCGCTCCTCTGTCCTATCCTGTTCACCTCGGCATGCCCAGGAATTCATGATCTTCCGCATCTGCACTGTCCCCCTGGAGAGTGAGCTCAGCCAGTCTCCGGGTAGTGAACACCGCCTACCGGTCAGTGATGGCCGGAATTCATGTCGACAGTTCCGAAATCGCCTGCCCAGATGTGTCCTTGAGTCCCCCTGCCTCTTTGATCTCTTGTGCTTGAAAGGTGACTGCAGGGTTTCTCAGCCTCAGGACTCCTGCCGTGTTGGGTAAGTCTTCCTGTGGGAGGGCTATTCTGCACGTCATCACTGGCCTCTACACCTCAGATGCCATTGCTATCCTTCCCTCCCAGTTTTAGTAACCCAAACCTTGCCAAGTGTCCCTGGTGGACCGCAGTGCTCCGGCTCCTGACCCTGGGTAGCGGCGCTGTGATGTGTGTGGCCTCGAAACACTTTTCCTGGGGGTTGACAGGCCTGTTGGGAGTGGAATTTGCTTGCTCAATTTCTTCCTTAGCAAATTCATGCTGGGCCCATAGGAATGCTGCTGCTGTCCTTTGCCACACAAGCTGCTCTGTGTTCTGTGGCTCCATCACATCGCTTTTCCAGTTCCCAGGGGCCTTTCGTGGAGTCCTTAGATTTTTCAGCATGTGGTTATCTGTGACAACATGTTGCTCCTTGCTCTGCAAAATGTATTTTTGTGAATTCCCCAAGGCCTGGGCTGTTTTCCTCCCAGAGAAGGTTCACTTTTTCCTTTGAAACTTGAGGGGAGCTGTTGAGCTGGCCCTGCTCAGAGGGGACCATTTCTTTGGTGATGACTCACTTCTGCAATGCAGACCTTAATCAGAGTCTATGCAAAGAACTAGCCCAGGGTTATATTTCCTCAAGTGTGGGGTTCTCTTTCTGATTCCCCTTGATATCAAGGCAGCCCTCTTCAGTCCGTTGGCAATGGGGTGAGGTGGGAAAGGCTGGCTCTCAGGAACTAACCTTTTGGGGTCTCAAAGGCATATGGGTGGGGTTCTTTTAGACTACTCTACCCTATCATTGGTTGGCCCAGGTTTTGGCCTCTAGGTACTTCTGGGGCTCTGTAGTTCCCTCAGACTCAGCTGTACTATTATGCTTGATTCAGTCTGTACCAGCAAACATCAGCAGGCTAAAGCCTTTATCTCCCTGGTTTTTCACTGTCCTTTGGAGTCTTATTCCTATTACCTTATCAGCAATGTCATGTCTGTGCACATTTAAATGCTCTTCCTTGTTTTTAACATTTTATCCCCCCATTTAGTTGCCAGTACTAAGAAAACTCATCTGAATCACCTAACCCATCACTGGCAGGAACTAGGGCTTTCCAGAACCTTTCCCAAACTATTTTGAACTCTCTACACAT